CCGCGCTGGTGGAGCTATCCACCAGCAGCGTGATGTCTGCCGGCTCGGTGAAGGTGACTGCAACAGGAAAGGCCCAGGGTTTGTTACATTGCATCTCTCCTCCCGACTCTTCCGTGTGAAGTCGGTGAAGTCACTGGCTGTCTCACAGGCTTCCTGCCTTGCCAAACTAGGGAAATCCCCAGTCTCTAGGTATTTTCTAGCTTGATTTCCCCTACCTCAGTGCTGTCCTACACTTGTCCTTTTACCCTGTCGTTCCTTCTTTTATTTGGTTTACGACAGGCTGAATTCCCAGATACTTATTTGATTTAGATAACCTAGTGAGACTTGTTGCTTAAATACAGAGCATGTTTTCCTTGACTTACATTGTCCTTGCATTTCATCTCTCGAGGCCGGCTTCTTTCCATGGTGAGTCTGAGGATTGTATACACTTCTGACTTGGAGGTTTACTCACTTTTCAAGCACCTTTCTCAAATATCCCTGCCACAGTGCTGATTTTCAGTCGTGCTCTCACCACCACATAGCAGCTGATCTCATTACCTGCCTCAACTAAAGCCTGCGAGGGCTAAATCTGGAACAACCTTCTTTCTAGGTGTGCAGGGCCAAAAAAGCAACTTTCTAGGCTTTTCCCTCAGGTGCTTTGGGCTGGAGAGTGTGTGAGAGACCCCGCGAGTGTCTGGCAAGGTTTATTCCCTTTTCCAGCCCAGGAGCCTCCCTGTTCCAAGAGATCTCCAAGCTATGTATTTCCGCAAACACAGACTCCCACTTCCCCCACCGCAGCACCCACCATCCTTTCATGTGGCATGAGGAGTTAATACTCACTTGGGCAGGTGTAGTCTGGACATTTCTTCTCTGTTAAGAAAATTAAAGAGAGTAATGTCATTGCCTCACCCAGGCTAACGGCTTCTCCTACAGCACAGCTTCCCACCAAGCCAGAGCAAGGACAAACGCTCACCTTGGTCACAGCCACATTGTACAAGGCGCTGTGCAAAGGCTATAAATGTGCGTCAGAAAGTGCAGAGGTGCGTGCTTCAAAAATGCTGTGGACAGAGGTGTCCTGCAGCAGAGGAGGACTAGGACCTGGCCACCAAGTGTTCTGAAACACGAGATGTCTTTGTGCCTTATTTAACGAAGCCCTGAAAGCTGTGCTTTTCCCTCAATAGCTGCTTAAGAGCATGGCTAGGGCAAGGCAGGGAGGGCAGCCTGCATCCCTCACCGTTTGGCTGAGGCAATCTTCACCACATTCTTTATTGCCTCCAACCACAACCTTTCACCCACCTTGGCAGACATATGAGGTGATGTTCTGCAAGAAGGTGTCATCCAGGAGCTCGGCATAGTTGTCCCTTTGAATGGACAATCCTGGCCTGGTTGGTCTGCTTAAACAAGCAATGTCATTCAGGTGATCTGGATTCGGAGGGTTCCGGAAAATGTCACCTATCCCAAGGGAAACCACCTGCAGGGGAGTTAAGAGTCCATCACCTGATGTATTCATCATCTTATGCATTCATAAACTTGAGTACCTGTCACTTTGTGAGAGTGCTTCCAGTGACACGTGTCCTCACTGCCCTAGCACTGGGTAGCAAAGACATGGCTGTCCCAGAGACCCAGCACTACTCTGATGCATGGCTGCTGTGCGGTGGTTCCCCGCAGGCAGGGTGCTTCCCCCATGCCCTTACCGGGGTGACATCGCACAGAGAACTGAGCGGAGTAGGGTCCCGCAGCGTGTCGGAGCGTCCGTCCGTGATGACAATGGCAACGCGCTTGTCAGAGGTGAATCTCCTCAGCAGGTTGTCCTTGGTGAACTGCAGGGCTTCTCCAGTGTAGGTGCCCCCAGCTATCCATTTCAGGTTCTTGACTGCCCTGAAAGCACAGAGACCAGTGAGCCTGCAAGCCCTGTCCCATGCATACTGAAGGAGCTCCTGAGAACACATCTCTCTCTGACATGCATGCGAGGCAGGGTAACATCCCTGCACGGGTCTTTAGGTGGAAAACCAGCAAGCTCCTTGGCCTCAGCACCACCTACAATGCCATTAACCACTACTTTCCACTAAAGAACATTTAGCATCCTTGCAGTTGCAGGAGCTGCTGGCCTGGAGAGGAAGGATAGGAGGTGTGTAGGTGTCCCTGGCTCAGGTCTCTGCATGATGCTCCGAGATCCCATAGACTCACTGTTTGAGTGCCCCGATGTTGTCTATGTTGGCATCCCCCATGGCCACCAGCTCCTGAGTGTTGTCATGGCTGTACTGCACAACGCCCACACGGGACTCCCCAGCTTCAAACTGATGGGAAAAACAGAAGCCAGTTAGGGTCAGATAAGTCAGGGAGCTCTGGAGAGCTCAGAAATCCTGCTAGTGGTTTGTATTGAATGTTTTCACAGCAGGCTCTGCTGCCTCTCCTCTGCCTTATTCCAGGCAAAAGGAGCCACAACAGGAGTGGATGCACATAGGGACCAATTCATTGAGCCAGTCAAACAAGACTCAAACCCAGGTTACCCAGCTCAGTGGTCTCAACACAAGCCATTGGCCATGGTGGGTGGCTAGGAATAGATGTTTTTTCAAAACTTCTGTTTTTCTTCCAACACAGTAGCTTTGCTGCACAGCCCTAGCCTTTCTGCTTGTTACTGGCTCTTTGCCAGCCAAAGAGACCCATGCATGACCATGTAAGTGTCCAACGGCAGGTCATTGGGGCTTTACAGCTCATGTGCTACAGATGTGTCTGGTTATGCCTTAAGGAAAAACTGGATCCCAAACATCCCTTCCAAATCACAGAGGTAAACGAAACTTCCCGTGCACAGTGGGTTACCAGGGAAGGGTTAGGAGAGTAAGCATTTGTGTCCCTCTTCAGACTGAAAGACTCACTACTGGGATAATATTGCTGCAAAGGTCCTTTTTAGTAGTGTGCTTAACTGGTAACCTAAACCCAGTCTTGGGGGCAGACAAGGGTGCCTGGGGGGCTGGCCATCAGGGAGCTAAGGGAAGTTGCAACACACCTCATGTTATCTACTCCAGCCACCTGAAACGCTCATCAGGACAAGGAAGAGACTGAGAGACTGACTGATCAGATGAATACTTTATGAGCCATCTGCTCTAGGACATGGAGGAAGAGTTCACAGCCACAGCAGGCAGAGTTTCTTTGCCCAGAAAGAGTGAAATATCTGTATTTTGGGATAACAAACTGCTGTTTCATCTCCATTACTTTATGAATCTGGGAGGAATCAAGACCGACCCCACTTACACACTTGAAGCTAAGCCTTGTGGAGGCTCTTTGGAGTGAAGGCATCTCTCTGTCTTTAAGCTTGCAGTGAAAAATAAATGAGTGCAATAATAATAAAGAAGTGTATCCTGGCACTAAGTGGAAATCTCACCTTCACACGCTCATCCTTGCTCAGGCGGTCGATGACCTTGATGATGAAGTCCTTGGCAATCTGGAAGTTCTGCAGGCCGATGCTCTCCGAGCTGTCCAACACGAAGAGGAGGTCGACAGGACCACAGGTGCACTCTGCAGCAAGGCACAGGAGTGGAGGGGCTTGTGTTTTCTACCTGAGCCATGTGCTCAGAGCAGGGCGTTTTGCAGGGAGGCATATCAAAGCGAGCAGCTGGTGTCTGCTGTCAGCCCTGGCCAGGTGGGTGCCTGTGCCATATCTACCCACAAAGCACAGTGTAAAATAAAGTGGCAAAAGAGCTACGTAGGAAACCTAAGAGGCAGCTTACTAATTCTTCCGTTTGCGTTTTCCTCAGCACTGCTTATAAGACACGTAGCACTTCTGAGCTGTGAGTACCCTTAAAACACCCAGTAATTATCCCAAAACCCATTTCCTCATAAGCCTTCTCACTTCTTCCATTCACCCAGCCCAGGAGAACAGAGGTGACACTGGTGGGCTGGAGGAGGCTGACTCAGCCTGCTCCCCTCTTTCCCATGGCTGAAGGACATCATGTGCCCTTGGCTCTTCCTTCAGGACTGCAGACCCACGCCATCAGGACAGCATTAGAGAAAAAAAAAAAACCCAGCACATTTCTCTGCAGACCAGCACAGGATTTGGGAGGAGGAGGACAGAGCTGGATCTACAGCATGCCCTGAACTGATATCCCTTTCGACTGCAAATAGGGTGGAGAAAATCCTGCTGCAGCTTTGCTGGCACAGGGCAAGTTGACAACAGTTTTCCGGTTGTAGGACCCAGCCACAGCAGCCTCCAAATCCGCGCAGCACCCTCGGGGAGAGCTCGCTGCTCTCCCTTGCCTGCTCGGTCTTCCCTCCTGGGCTCTCACAATGTCTCCATAGCAGAAGGCAAGGAGAAGGGAAAGGGATGGGTGCATGCAAGGAGAAGGGCTAGCTAAAGCTTGCAGAGCAACTTTGCCAAGTAACACTCACCGCAGCAAGCTAGAGAAGAAGGGAGAGAAAGAGAGAATGTTAAAAAGCCGGACAGGAATGTTTTTCACACACTAAAAAAGGCTGCAGATCTGTATTTCTGCAAATCCAAAGACACCTGGTCCATCCAGACAATTCAAGCTCATGGAGGTTTCCCTCCTGTTTGAAATATCCAGATCTATCTACTGCTTCAGGTTGTGATGCCCTGATCCAGAGCACTGCATGCAGCAGAGCTGTTTCTGCACACGCTGATGCATTCTTATTTAAATCAAAATAAAAGCTAATCCCGGACGGATTAAATAAATCACCAGAATATGGAGCTCAAACTCAGTTCCCTAAGTACCCTGTGTCCTTCCAGCACTTCGTTACTGGCTGTGGGCCAGAAGCCCTTTGCAGCACATGCACGCTGCTGCTGCCCATGGCAGGACACCCCAGAACAGACCTCCCTTTCCCAAGGGGGAACGTCATGTCCTGCTATTTAAGAAAAAAAAAAAACGGTCCGCACAAAGATTTTACACAGATTTGCTCATAATATCCTTGAAGAGTAACTGTGCACGCACAGAGCTGCAGACACAGCACATTGGTTGGCAGGACGCTCACGTGAAACATGACCTACTCTAGAGATTGAACTGGGAGTCCCTGGGACAGCAAGACACAGAAGATTTGCCTCGTTTTGGTTGCTGTCTCAGCTGCAGGAAGGACCTCCCACCCCTCTCCCATCTCACTGATATAATTGCAACTTGTGGAAGGGGAGTGATGCCCATGGCATCCCTCTGCATGCTGCCCGGGGACAGCCCTGCTCCCCAGGGACCAGCGACAAAGCAGCCATGTCACACTCTGCAAGGAGCCGAGGAGGGCAGGAGGAATGGTACAGGGATACTCACAGCACATCTTCATGATGATGTCCAAGATCTCACATTCCTGAAGACAGAGGTAAAGAAAAGTTTGAAGAGCAGTGAAGGCAGCTGCCTGGCTCCCAGATGCTGCCCACCACCCCCGCAGCTCCTTTGCACCCTCAAAGCAGATACTGATCTGGAAATGAGTGACGTGCAACTGGGGCACGCTATGGAGGGCACTGGCTGGGATGGACTGGCATGAAGGAAATCTGGCCAGTGGGACTCACTAGGACAGTCATGGGGGCCAGCCACCACTCCACCCGGGACCACATGGCTCCCCCAGCAGCAACCCCCTCCCAGGAGCCATCCTGAGGGGCAGGGGAAGCACAAACCAAGCAAGCAAGCAGCACCCCAGTTCTGTCCCACTCACATCTGGCCCTGGAGGCCCCACGGGTCCTGGTGGTCCCTGTCAAACAGAAGCATGGAGAGAGCAGTTACAAGAGCAGACGAACCCCTACTCTGCCAATACCTTTCTAAGCAATGCAGAGTCTGGAAAAGTCTCTTGGCTTCCCAGTTTTTGCCTTTTTTACCTTCGAGAGGGTATATCTGCTTGCTTGCACAATGCCCTGGTGCCCCATGGGAGCGGGGGGCAGAAGACCCACTTCCACGCATGCCATGCCCACCAAGGTGTGAAGGTGAGCTCTCACTGCAGGCAGTGAGCACAAGCACTGCGTGTGACATGGCTTGTCATTGCCGTCACAGCATCCAGGTTATGGATAGATGGATGCAATTTGCCTGGGAGATGCCTCTCCTGTAGCCTCCATGCCAACGAAAGGCCGCGCAAGCAAGCGGCGATTCAACATGAACTGAAACGTTCTCAGGCTTGCTCCAAAGGGCTGCTTGCCCTTACCGACCTTGGCCATACAAGAATGCTTGTGAAAAAGCACAAGCACCTGCTTTTTCTGCCCTGATTTGGGATGGACGTGATGTCAGAGACGTGTGTCCCAGACTGCAGCCGTGGGTTTTCAAACTGCAGCAGCACACTGCTGTCGGGAGATCCATCAGCCCGGCACGCTGTGCTCATCGGTGCAAACCCTATCAGGATCCTCACTTACCGGGCGGCCTTCAGGTCCTCTGTGGCCCTTTGCTCCTTTGATGCCCTGAGGGCCAGGGGTCAGATTCTGGGATGAAAACGAAACAAAAAAATCCACAAATCTGTGTGTGTTGGGGTGCAGCAATTTCCCCCTTCCAGGTGTCTGCTGAGCCCTACTTAACTACAAAAACGTTGAGATTGCTGTACGCAACCAAACGAGTCAGTACTTGGAGAGGGGTCAGGATAGATACTAGGAAAATCTCCCTCCATGGGACAATGGTGCTGCAGAGGGGCAGACATTGGTGCTACCTGGAAGCATACAAAACCCTGCAGAAACGATACCTAACTTGATCTAATGGATCTGGAGGTTTGCCAGCCCTAAACTGTGGGACACAAAACAAACATCTGGAGAGAGCTCCCCTTGCCATCAGACACCGCTCAGCAGCAAAGGGCACCTGCAGACTCACAAAACCTGATGGGCTCTGACCCGCAGGTGAGGCAGTGTTAGAGACCCAGCCCACAGCTCCTACACCATGCTCAAAGAGAAAGATGATTCAGCTTTGTACAGATTACTCACATCGTTGCCAGGGTCTCCAGCTTCTCCTTCATCACCTTTAGGACCGACATAGCCTTTTGTTCCCTGAAAAAGAGTACAGAAGAGACTCCTGCATGGTCAGCTGTGGTGAGATCAGTGCTGGCATGCAGTGACTTTGTGAGAGCTGGCTTGGGAGGGAGGCAAAGAGCAGTGTACAGGCTCCCCAGCACCAGATTGCAGTGCTATTGAGCAACACAGCTTCTTAGGTGGCTTCCACTGGTATAGCACCATCCAGCTCCCCCTGGGTGGTACTCCCAAACACTAAGTCTGGCTCCAGGGATGCATCCGAGAGCACTCAGCCCAGGCTGCCATCCTTGGGTGTTTCTATCAGTGCATCAAGGCAGGACACTTGCACCAGAAGCATCCAGTGCAGGGAGAGGTGCGCAGAACGAAAAGAGGGCTTTGGAAGAGGAGGCTGCTTCAGGGAGCCCGTTTCACCATGCAGCTGATGGAGAGGCTCTAGGAGCCAAATCACCGGCCAGGAAAATTTCTGTGGGGTGTATGAGGAGGCAGCGCGCTTACGTTAATGCCAGGGTCACCTCTGTCTCCTGGTTGCCCCTGGGGATGAAGGAAAAGCAGCATGTTAGGTTGGACACGCAGAAATAACGGCCTTACCGTTTCAAAGCAGCACACACACAAAAAAATAATTACCGGGGCACCTGGGAATCCAATTGTGCCATTCCCAGGAGGGCCATCCTCCCCCTGGAAAGGAAGGGAGAAATATGTGAGACAGTGAAAAGCAGATCCCTTAGGTAGCATGGCAACAGGATCCTGCCCTCCTTGGACAGTTTATCTCCACATATATGGGCAAAAAATATGCGACTGGTGGGTTGCACACTGCTGCAGGCTGGTAAAAAGGACATCTTGCTTGTGTGTGACCTGCACAGCCACCAAGAGAAGGGTGACACTGTCCCGATTGGGGATATGGCCACAGGCTGGGAACACACTAGGAGGTATCAGGTCTCTGTTGCTAGAAAGTGGATCCCAAGATACATCTCTCTGAGCCTGCAGATAGGATGTATATTCAAAAGTAGGCTGCTTGCAAAATTTCCCAGCATTTCTCAGCCGTATGAGAGTGTAATTCCTTTTCTCCCTGACGTGGGTTATGCTGCGTGGAACCAGCCTGTTGTACATCCTTTCCATATCGCACGCAATCCTCCCAAACAAATATCACTCACCCTTTCTCCCATCAGGCCAGGGTCTCCTGGCAGCCCGGGTGCTCCAGGCAATCCTTTTGGGCCCTGGAAGGAGCAGAAGGTCAAGCATTGTATACTGTTCTTCTTTCTGGGAAAATGATGCCTTCTGAGGCAACCAGATACCATCATGGGAGGTGCTTTGCTTATACAAGAGCAATGTAAAGCCCACAGCTAGGCCTGGGATTCAGATTGCTTGCTGCTCTGGGTGTCAGATCTGCTGGCAGATTCAGGTGGCTACCCTTGGAGAGCAGCTGCCCCAGCTTCTATGATGGGAAGTTTTACCCTCTCCATGGAATGGCCTCTGGGAGGTGGGGAAAAAGCCACCCACAGCCTTACCCTAAGGACCCATGGAAAACACCTCAATGTGTCTGCCAGGAACACCTGAGTTTGTACCTACAACAGGTTTCCAAGATCCGAGGGATCTGGGGACAGCCCTAAGGGGCAGCATCTCCTGATCTGCCCTTCATTCCCTCTGCCCAGAAGATGCAGTGATGGAGCAGAACTGACCTCGTTGCCGCGGGGGCCGTCATCTCCCCTGTAGCCCTTGGGTCCTGGGGGTCCAACCGGGCCCTAGGGAAACACAAAGAGCTCTCACAACAAGGATTTTCTCTCGATGCAGCTCCTGCCCTGGAGGGCTGGTCTCTTCATTTCATGATGGGGTGGGTGGGGTCACCCCATGGGTGAGTCACATTCGCCTTATCAAGCCTCACAAGAAAGGACTTATTGACGGTGGGGGATAACACAGGTGGTGAGATGCTTCAGGAGCTCCCCTGTGCCCCCCTGCCTGCGCAGGCGGCAGCTCCCCACGCTTCCCTGTGCTCTGCTTTCTCTGAAAAGCCCCATCAGAGGCAGCCCTGGCCAGATCCCTGCTGCATGCAAGCCAAAACGAGAAGCTTTCCAGGCCAAGACATGACACTGCAGGCATGGGTTGAACACCATGTGCTCTCAGTGGCAGGCGGGGTAGCCTCCCAGCAGAGTTCCCAGGGCCCTGAAAGCCGTCCGTCTCCTTCACACCTCGGTCTGGTGACAGAGGACCTGGTGGGGAAAGGAACCAGGGAGGCAGGGATGATGCTTTCCAGCAGCAAAGCACTGCTGGGTTGCACAGTGGTATCTCATCGTCTGTGACAGAGGTGCCTCAGGGGCAGAGAAAGGTCTTCAGTGGAGCACATCACCCTGAAGGTGACACAGATCTCCCTCCACAGAGTCCCTCCCCACGACCTGAGACTCGGACACGTCTGGTGAAGGCCCTTTCACAGCTCCAGGGAGTATCTGTCCTCAGGAGGCTGCAGAGCCCTGGAAGTGTGTGCTGGAATGGACCAGAGCTGTCACTCTGCCACATCCCATCTGGGCAGCAGCCACTTGGTTCATCAGCTGCAGGGCTGGCTGGAGACAGCCAAGGACAAGAGGAGAGGTGGGAGGAGTTTTTTTTCTCCAAGAGCTCCAACAGCTGTCCAAGGGAACCCCTCCACCTTCTGCTGGGTGCCAATAGCCTTTCACAGGCTTTACTTGCTAGGAGGTTGGTAACAATGGTGGGTAACGATTGGGTAACGATGCTCTCGCCCACAGCTCCAAATGCCTGAACAAGGCATCATCTCATGTGGAGTCGGGTGTGCAGCTGGTCCTCAGGTGGTGGGGATGACAGAGGTGGGCAGAGGGAAAGCAGAGAGCAAGCTGTGGTGGGCACAAGCAATGGCTCAGCAATCGGCCCCACCAGTGTCGCTGCTGTAGGCAGCAGTCACGCCGGTTCCAGACTCCCAACCTCCGAAACGTTTCCTGCGATGACTCACGCGACTGCAGTCTCCTGGCAGACAGAAGGCAGCACTTGCTCAACAATACCTGGGCTTCAGCACAGCAGCGGCACGTGCCCAAGAGTTTCCTCTGTATTTTTGGTGCACCATCAGCAACTCTGAGCTTTTCGGGAGCTGCCTCCGCGTGGCGGCTCAGCCCAGCCCGTTTTGCAGCTAAAAAGTGCAAATAAGTGGAGGAAGGAAGTTTTCTCCTCCTTTCCAGCTGTTGTCTCTGCTCCTCTTCGCACGACAGTGGCTGGGAGAAGTTGGTACCAAACATCCATGTGCTGTGCACACACCCTTCTTCCCAGGAAAGGTGTGCTGGTGGGTGCAGAGGACTTAAAATTACACAGTGCGGAGCAGAGCACTAAACTGCTCAAAGGCATGTGACCTTACTTCTGCATGAAAGCACGGAAGAGAGAAAGCTGGAAAGGAGGACAGAAACTCATGATTGTTCGCGTCAGCCAAAGCTGGATCCACGGCACCCTTGGCTCGTGCGGGCCGGACACGGCCTCTCCGCAGCATGCAGCCCAAATCCCTCACGGCCCTGGAGAAGTTTATGAAGATGCAGGATTTGGGATTGGGAAATCTTTAGCAGCTCCCTGTCCATCACCTTTCTGTGTGTCACAAGAACCACAGCAGGGACCAGCATCTTGGCAAGGAAGAGAGAGGGACCACCAAACCTGCCCTTGA